GATAGTAAAGTGCTGGACTCAACTTAAAATGATGTATATTCATTGCTGGAATAGAAATACATGTACTAGCAAAGTGCTAGGTTTAGACATAATGCAAACTCATTGTTGAAATGAGAGATGAAAGGAAAGATACTTGTGTTGATATGTTGTTTTTGCTGGGCAGGCAGGGTTTGCAAACTAGCCTTGGGTGCTCTATTTATAAAACTCTTCATGCATGCAGCAGCTTGATGTGGCAACTCCAGTGATTTCGACGTGGTCAGATTCCAGACTACCAAGTGTCCCATGTTCTCTTGGCAGTTGAAACTTCTTTTCTTCTATCTTCTTCTTGCCTTTATTTCCTCTGATGTTCAATAGTCTTTCACGAACTTGTATCGTGGGTGGTTTTTGGAATGAATTTCCACTTGTCTTCTTCACAAATTGACATACGTCCAACGTTCCATGTTCCTCTTCCGTCTCCCACAAATTCCTTCTCCAATTTAGACATGATTTAATCATTTTAAACCCATTATCCATAATCCACGACAACCATTTTCAATTAGTGGTAATAGTTGCGTGAGACACCACCACTTTCAACTGATAACAAATCAAGCATCCCACGTTCCTTAGTGGTTTTTCTTTCTGCAGAATCCTATTTCTGTAAAACTTCCATATACATCATGCATATATATAGCAGTTACTTGCAGACCCACGTTCTCCGAGCACTGGGTAACTTCTTTCCAGTTAAACTTTCCATTCTAGTCTTTGTATCATGATGTCGTGGCCCCTTCTTTCGGCAATTTCTTCATCATGGATTATATCTGATATATATATATATATATATATATAATATGTATAAATATATATATATATATATATATATATATCCATGCTATAAATTATGGCCAATGTTCCTTCTCATTTGCGACCTTAGACTCCACAGTGCCATGAACTCCTTAATTTCAGCGTTCTTCTTGACGTGGATTGGCGTCCACAACTCTTTATAACTTCTTTCCTTGAAACTTCCCTTCCATGTTCAGAGCTTATGGCGTCATGGTCCCAAAATTATAGCAACTCCTTTACTCCATCGTGGGCTATATAAAATATATATATTTAGGAATATATTTTACACTCATGGAAATAATGCCCCAGTTCCTTGTTGCTTGATTCAATCAGAGTAGTTGTTGAGAACCTCCTAGATTTTAGGAGAAAATCCAACCCCACGTCCTGCTTACTCAACCTTGATTTCGTAATTAAATAGAGAATATCCATTTAATTATTTTTCTATGAGAATAGGACTTCCATTAATAAAATCAACTCTTTAAAAGAATTGCTCTACCGTGGCAAGTTCAGTAGAACTCGCCACGTGTCGATGAATCATTGGTTGGTTAATCTTTGACTTGAATATTCCTATAAGGTTGAACTCATGATAGTAACTCCATGCCACCTTCTTATACCTTTTAGGACATTATATCCAAAGTTGGTAAGTCCTACTAGGACTCACCATTTTCTTTTAATCAGTAATTCCACGTGGTGGAATTTTATCTAGACCAATCACTCTTCAAATGAAACTACGTAGTTTCAATGTTCCAAAGGAATATTTTGTCAGAGTTCCACTCATGCGTGGCAAGTCCAATTGGAACTTGCCATGTACCTCTTCTCTATTAGTAGACCATACCAATAATTCCATATCACGCTTTTCTTTTCTTGGTGAATTAGAGTACTAATTCAGTGTGGCAAGCTCATTGGAACCCGCCACATGTCGTCTTTCCATTGGCCCAAAAATAATTGTGTAAATAGAGACCACTAAAGGTCTTACAATTCTCTCGCCCCGTTAGTCTTTCTCTCTCACCTCTCAAATTCCATTTTTTCTTTTTCTTCACTTCAAGATTTCAAACCTTGATTTCTCCCTCAACCCTTGGAATTTTTGGAAGCCGTTTGCGGCAATTCGAAGAGCACGGTGAGATCTTCACATCCGTATAAGCAATTTCAGTTTTAGTGCACTTTAGGGATACCGATTTTGGGACCCATTTGGGGGTTTTTGGCTTAATTTGAGGTAGGGGTCTCTAATTCTCATATTCTTATACTTTCGTGAATTTTTCATATTTTAATTATTGTCAAGTATAATCAATTTGAGTAGATTGTCCCTTGAATGACTTAATTATGTATATGAAGCATGCAAATATGTGAACTTGTTAAATAGTATGAGAAACATGCCTTATTTAAATTAATTTCTTTGAAAATGATATAATTGTTGTAATAGAAAATCTATACTTATATGCGTTGATAGTATTATGTGCTAAATGTTAATTTCCATGCCATGGTATTTATGATATTTTTCTAGAAATTTCTATGAAGAAGCATGTTAAATTGTGAAGCTAAAATTTCCTCTATTTTCATACTGTTGGGAAAATATGTAGCATGCATCCATAGCATTGGGCATGAACGAAAAAGGGAAATTGTTTTGACATGAAAATGAAAGGGATTTTTGGGGAGAAATTTTGAGAAAACCCGGTCATCACGGAGTTACCAAAGGGCCGGTGTGTTAATGTAACCTAGAGGGAACTAGGGGAAACACCCTAGCATGGTTGAGCTAGCTGGGCCCAAATGATGTCGCGGGGGTACCAAGGGTCAGGGACAGTAGCCAATCCTTCTCTCGTGTCGCTGCGGAGTCAACAAAGGACGGGTTATATTAACAGTTTGAAAAGTGATGGATTTGAATTTTAAAAATAGGGAGCGACATACATGACATTGCATATCATGGCATGGCATTTTTATTTGAAATTGGAATTTATGTTGTATTCTTTTCCGGCATAGCATGACCCCTATCCTCTATTCCTATTCATTATTTGGATTCATAAGGCCACAAAAGGTGTGTCTTAGGTACCACCTACTAGCAATTTGCTCACCTCATTACATTGATCATTTTTTCAGGACTCGGGAAGGAAGTAAGAGACGCAGACCCTTCACAAACTTAAGGAGGACTAGGAATATATTTTTTTGCTATCTTTTATATATTTGCTACACTTTTGTAAAGTCTCAAAACCATAGTGAAGTGTATGCATTTTGCAAGCCATGGTCATATATTGTAAACTATAACTCTTGTGGGTATTTTGAAGGGAAGCGAGACTATGTAAATATTTTATGTTGAATGGGATGATGATGATGGGCCATCTTGAGGAGGTTGTTGATGTTGTTGTTTGGGAGATGTATTATTTTTTTTTTTTTTTGTATTGTGTGTTGGGATAGGTTGGATAATTTTTGAAGGTCCAAGAGAGGCCATTGCATTTTTATGCATTTAAGCAGGTTGGCGTAGGACCCCTTTTTAGCAGAGGTCATGCTGAATTTTTATATATATATATATATATATATAATTGGTTTTAGTTTAGGTTCGTTACAAAAATGGGCATTTCGGTCGACCGACTGTATTTTTTCCAATTCCAGTATTCATGTCTTTTGGGAGCTCACAACCGATCGACCAGTATGCTATTTCAGTCGATTGGACATTTCAAACGACCGAAGCTCCACTTCGGTCGACCAGTTTGCTGCTATTTTATGACGTAAGAATGATGCATCGACCCTGGACTTAATGGTATTGGCTTAGGTAACCTCGGGTTCGGGTAAGGACCTGGTTAGCGGTTTGGACCACGGGTTCAGGTCGTTACAGCACGGTAGTTTAATTATGTTTTACACGCCATTAATTACATGTTTGGGGATAAGATTAGACTTTAATAAGGTCCCCAAGGGACCAAGGGAGTACCCATGTACTCAAATGCTTAAATTTAGGCTTTTTTTTTAGGCATTTTCAAGGTTTTGGTCTTCTGGAACCGGTTCAACCTTCATGGAACTGGTTCAAGGGAGTTTTGGGTTCATATCTAGGCATTCTACCCAAGTGGAACCGGTACCAGGAATTGGGAACCGGTTCAAGTCCTCTAGTGTACTTTTTGGCTTTCACAGTTTTGTCAGCTTGGATCACTTGACTTCGTGTGGTCGTAACTTCTTCGTTTCAAACCCAAATAGGGTTATTCTTGAGTCCATTTTCAAGGATTTTGAGTTAGATTTCCAATGAGACCAACCCCATCTTCAAATTCCATTCATGCTGGGAAATATTGTTGTTTTAGTGGAATAGTGTCGGAATTCCCCTTGAACCAAGTAAGGGCCCTTTTGGGAAATCATAGCCAATGACCATATAACCTCTTCGAATGTCATGGAATGACTAGAATAATTTTTTTAATCTTCATTTGACTAGTTTAAGGACATATTATCTTTTGATATTGTAAAAAGATAATATGTCATTGGGTTCGAGTAAGGACCCGGTTAGCGATTCGGACTCCTGAGTTCAGGTCGTTACAGGTAAATCGAAAATGTTTTAGAAAATGCAGAGTGACATTGGTATGTCATTGCATTACATTGGCATGCATTGTTTACATATGATTGGATGGCCTGCATTGTTGTTGTTATTGTTGTTGTAGTCATTGTGTTTCCCTGAATGGCATGATCCCGTTCCTTCTTTACTTTATGCTTTGTGTGGATTCACTTGGTTGTTAAGAGGTGTGTCTTAGGCACCTCCTACTGAGCGGTTGTGATGTCCATCACTTTTTCAATTTTTCCTAGGCATTTCTCGTTTTGGCATAAGTGATTATTTCATTACCTCGGGTTGCATGCCATGTTTGGGATTGCACGTCATGAAGGTTTTATAGTGATTTAGAGTGTTTCATGGAGTTTGGGAAGCATGGATATGCTAGTTGAACCGTTTGGACAGTTTACGGATTTTCGGGCAGAGCGACTCGTGCGGGTCCGACGCTGAAATTTTTGGATTTTGAATTATTTTCTTAATTGAAAAATAATTATCTTGGATGTCATTTACATAATTCATGAGGGTGGAATGGTCATTTGAGGTTGTAATGGCATTTTGGTGGTTAAGTGAAGAGGTGGGGGCGTTTTGGTTATTTCCTTGGTCCACCTTTTGACCCTTTGTGAGTTTGACACTTAAGCATGCACTTGGCAAGTTTCTAGCCACAATCTGTATGACTCCTCATGTAGAAGAGAGCTTCAGCTGATGGGTTCCTCATGTTAATTCCATTTTCTTCTTCCTTTAACCAATTTCGTCCTCCATTAGAGGGGTTTTTGAAGCACCATTTAGAAAGACTTGTAGTGAGAGTTTGATGTTGAGGTGTGAATGAAAAATGACCTAGAGGGAATGAGGTTTCTATTGATATAGTATATGTGGCCATTCCTTAATCCATGGGTTTCAGAAAGTGCTTTGAAAAGAGGAGGATCTTAGTTGTGCTTCAATGGAGAGTTCTTCATCTTCATCATCTTGTTGGTGGGTTCAATCTATACTTGGAATAGCTTGGAGGTGTTTGTTCCTAGGGTTTGAACTCCTTTGAGGTAGGATTATCTAACCCTCAATTCCTTTGCCTTTAGTGAGTTAATCTCCTTCAATTTAAGTTGTAAAGTGTACAAAAATGAAACTGAAGCATGTTGAAACTGTTTGGCTGAAATTACATGCTACTGTTTTACTCAAATTCAAGTAAATTCGTAATTTATCTTTTAGAGATGATTTGATATTATGATAATATAGTTAATTAGCTTTCATTGAGAATTCGTTTCATTTAAATTGGTTGAAAAATGAATTTATTACGAATTTTTGAAGTTATAGTGTTTTTGATGGAAATTCTGGGTTGGGGCAGATTTTTTTCCGAGTTTTCTCATCAAACCTGATTTAAATGGTAAGGGATTTTGGTGAAGTAAGATTTTATCTTGAAAATATAGTCTTTAAAATTTCAATGGGCTTTGGATTCACTCAATTAGGATGAGAATTGAATTTTTTATGATTTTTCAAAGTTGGAAGCAACAGGCTGGAAATCAGTTTTCTGGGCAGCATTTATTTCAAATTTATGGGTCAAAACTGTTCCAATTGGGAGGGGATTTTGTTAAACTAAATTGACACATTCAAAGTACATTGTTTAATCTTTCATTAAGCATTGGATTCACTCAATTTGGATGAAGATTGAATTTTTATGATTTTTCAAAGTTGGAAGCAACAGGCTGAAAATCAGTTTTCTGGGCAGCATTTATTTCGAATTTATGGGTCAAAACTGTTCCAATTGGGAAGGGATTTTGTTAAACTAAATTGACACATTCAAAGTACATTGTTTAAGCTTTCATTAGGCTTTGGAATCACTGAATTTGATTTAGAATTGAAATTGTTATGAATTTTCAAAGATGGAGGTAACAAGCTGCGTATGAATTGTTAACAACTAGTAGGAGTTGTTTTAACCCTCACACCCTTTGTTTCCTTGTGAACTAAATCTTTTAAATTGAACCACTATATGACTTGAATTAGGCTTTCTTTACAAGCATGTTATGTAATAAAAATCTGAAATTTTGTAGCTTAGACAGAAATGATGTGTTATGTGTTTTAAATATAGAATTTGAGCACTTAAAATGTTGTTGGTGTTTATGTGCCTAAAACTGAAATTATAGTAATCTCAATGGTTGTATTGTTATTGTTTGACAAGCTGGAAATTATATATTTAGTTGACTTCAATTATGGTCTGTTTTGTTATAAGTTTGGTGTTGTATTAGTGTTCAAAAACTGAATGATATATTGTCCTTGAAACATGCTGCCATGATAAATTTACTGCCAAAGTGTGTCCATAGAATATGATTTTGATGTGAGTAATGATGTGGTATTATAATATTGTGAAGCATGTGACATTCATGCATATCATTGAGAAAGAATGGGAAAATTTGATTTGAAAAAAATAATATGGATTTTTGGGAATGAATTTTGAAAAGGATTTTGTGAAAAACCCGGCCGCCTATGAGTTGCCTAGGGACCGCGGCATTAGTGAGGCCTAGAGGGGACTAGGGAAATCGCCCTAGTGTAGTTGTGTTACCTGGGCCCCAAATGACGCCATGGAGTTGCCATGGGTCAGGGACAGTGGGCAATCCTCCTCTCGTGCCGCCATGGAGTTGCCATGGGACGGGTTCACTAACGGTTTGGAAATGATGATGGAAATGGTTTTAGAAAAATGGGGAGCGACATCGCATGACATTACAACCATTGCATGGCATATCCATTCATGACTTGGTTTATAAATGTGATATTGTGGTTATTTTTCTCCCAACATAGCATAGTACTAGCTAAGAAATTTATTGGAAAAAATGTGGTAATCATGGAGTAATAGAGATGGATATTCTCAGTTTGTGGTTATGATTAGACATGAGTAGTTATTCTTTTGTCTAGGTGCAATAAATCATTAATACTAAAAGGTACCTTAAGTATTAATAAAGGGATAGTCTTTTCACGGTATAGGGGCATACTTTTAGACTGATGGTTGTGATAATGAGAAATGTGATTCCTTGTATAGAAAGTTGTAATAAGGGAAATGGTTTAGACTCTGTGTATATAGTACTTCATATTCTTCTGTGTTGACTGTTTTGTGAGACAGCATGATGATGTGATAATTATTTTTTTCCCCGGATTTGCATGACTCCTTTTCTTATTCCTATTCTTTGTTTAGATTCATGGGGGTATTAAAGAGTGGTGGTTAGGCATTTCCTGCTGAGCTGCGGTTGCTCATTCCTATTATACATACATTTTTTTCAAGTTATGGACAAGAGGTCGTAGAGGGCATTCTTCCACAGCCATGGACGGATGTTGGGTTTTATTTTGTTGTATATCTTTGTGTAAATAGAGAATGTATATTTTGAAACCAACATGTATATTTATAAATATTCTTCCAAACAGATTTTGTTTAATTATTGTAATTAAAGGATTATAGGATTTTATGTATAAAACCTACTTTTATATTTTCAGATAATGTGTAGACAGGGAAATGGATTTTGTGTGTGTGTGTTGGGACAGGGTACTTTATTTAACATGACTTTTGAAACCAGTGGATTTTTTTATTATTATCAGCCTTGAGTATTAAAGTTTTATCTAAAATTTTTGGACAGCGTTCCAGGGCTCGGTCAGACGTTTCTGAATATGAGTATTTCTTTGTTCTGTTTTATGTTCACAACCTGAATTACGGTCTAGGGTCGTGACAAGAGTGGTATCAGAGTATGGTTCGTCTAACCTAGGGACGATGGGTAGTAGTCTGTCTATGATTAAGGGTTTTCTGGTTTGTGTTGTCTCACATGCTTACATGCTTATGTGCTTTTTTGTTTTGCAAGCTTGTCTACTTGCTTACGTGGCTATGTGTTTATTTTGTTTGGGCTTTTCAAGCATGCTTTTGTGCTTACGTGATAATTGTTTAATTGTTTAAAGATGAAGCATGCTATGTGTTTAACGGCTTGTATCCATGTTAGTCAGTTTGGGACTGTGGATAGTGTCATTGTTATTGACTTGTATTTCGCTATAGTATGTCACCTCGTAAGAAAGGTCAGGCACTTAGAGGTCTGGGAAATGAGTGGTAGGACTGACGCCAGTAGCGTTGTTGTTTGTGGATGGCTTATCAGCATAAGCATGTGTGGGTATCATAGCATTTTGCATCGTTGTCTGATGTCCTCATTGGACACGACTTAGCTGGTATTGTGAGGTTCTACCAATGAGGATATAGTTTTGATGTGCACTGATTAGTGTTTAGCATATGTGGGTGTTTCATACAAGTAACAACGGAACGTTCAGGTTTGATTAGTGGTAAGGAGTCCAGAGTTGGATCCTGATGTTAAAAAAGTTTTGATAGCAATTGATGCTAGAATTGAGTCTTAGTGACTTGGGATTTTATTAAAAGTGGGTCAGTATTGTTGTTGGGCATGGGATGGCCATATGGACCGGCCGAACATTGTGGACCATACCCGGCTCTAAATGTAATATCAAGACACTGACAAGGATGACGATTGGTGTGTCATAGGAAACACTTACGGTTTCAGGAGACGTCATAGTTATCTCAGGAAAATGGTATGTTATGGATTATATTAGGCACTGGTAATGCCACATTACATATAAGGACGTTGTGGGCAAGCGCTAGTTGCCGACTATGCTACCATGTTGACGAGTATATGTGGGCGGGCTCTAAACGCCGACGAGGCTACCGTTCTTATGAGTATATGTTGACAGACACTAGTCGCTAGTCAGACTAACAGATTATGGTAAGGTATATTCTTTATTGATTATGATGGTTGAGGATTGATAGTTTTTCATTGGTGTTATGCTGGATTGGTGGATTGCCACATTGGTATTCATGACAGGGATTGTGTTATAGATTTTTCAATTCTGTAGAATGTCATGATTATGAATTCCTAGGTTGGAATATGGATAAGGATGGTGACGATAGTAGAGTAATATGGTGATGTTTTGGGTTATCATTTAATTAACTTGCATTTCGGTTGAATACCGGTTGTTAATAAGGATTGATTGATGCTAGAGATTGATTTTCCTTAACTAGTGATAAGAGTAGACATTAGGAATAATGTTATAAGTATCTTGACAGTTATGATTTGTGTTAGCTCGGTTTTGTGGGATTCGAATCCATTATTACTTGAGGGCACAGACTTGTCAGGCTTTAGATTCGCAGATTAGAGTCAGTTGATAGTAGATGCATTTTATCACGAGAGTTTGTGTCCACTTTTCCTCATTAGTATCTGGAGAGTTGGAAGGGATTTTATAGACTGTTGTGTCTGTTGTATGATGTGAATCCATAGGCTTTGCAGATTGTGTGGTGATGCTAGTTAGAGTTCTTGGCGAGTTCTGTGAGTGTGATAGGCACATCATCTTTTCTTTTTAAGGAGGGTAGATTTTAAGGACGAAATCTTTTTATGAAGGGTAGACTGTGATGTCCATCACTTTTTCAATTTTTCCTGGGCATTTCTCGTTTTGGCATAAGTGATTATTTCATTACCTCAGGTTGCGTGCCATGTTTGAGATTGCACGTCACGAAGGTTTTATAGTGATTTAGAGTGTTTCATGGAGTTTGGGAAGGATGGATATGCTAGTTGAACCATTTGGACAGTTTATGAATTTTCGGGCCGAGCGACTCGTGTGGGTCCCACGCTAGAATTTTTGGAATTTGAATTATTTTCTTAATTGAAAATTAATTATCTTGGATGTCATTTACTTAATTCATGAGGGTGGAATGGTCATTTGAGGTTATAATGGCATTTTGGTGGTTAAGTGAAGAGTTGGGGGCGTTTTGGTTATTTCCTTAGTCCACCTTTTGACCCTTTGTGAGTTTGACACTTAAGCATGCACTTGGCAAGTTTCTAGCCACAATCTGCATGACTCCTCATGTAGAAGAGAGCTTCAGCTAATGGGTTCCTCATGTTAATTCCATTTTCTTCTTCCTTTAACCAATTTCGTCCTCCATTAGAGGGGTTTTTGAAGAACCATTTAAAGAGACTTGTAGTGAGAGTTTGATGTTAAGGTGTGAATGAAAAATGACCTAGAGGGAATGAGGTTTCCATTGTCTAACCCTCAATTCCTTTGCCTTTAGTGAGTTATTCTCCTTCAATTTAAGTTGTAAAGTGTATAAAAATGAAACTGAAGCATGTTGAAACAGTTTGGCTGAAATTACTTGCTACTGTGTTGCTCAAATTCATGTAAATTCATAATTTATCTTTTAGACATGATTTGATATTATGATAATATATTTAATTAGATTTCATTAAGAATTGGTTTCATTTAAATTGGTTGACAAATGAATTTATTACGAATTTTTGAAGTTATAGTGTTCTTGCTAGAAATTCTGGGTTGGGACAGATTTTTTTTCGAGTTTTCTCATCAAACTTGATTTAAATGGTAAGGTATTTTGGTGAAGTAAGATTTTATCTTGAAAATATAGTCTTTAAACTTTCAATGGGCTTTGGATTCACTCAATTTGGATGAAAATTGATTTTTTTATGATTTTTCAAAGTTGGAAGCAACAGGTTGGAAATCAGTTTTCTAGGCAGCATTTATTTCGAATTTATGGGTCAAAACTGTTCCAATTGGGAAGGGATTTTGTTCAAATAAATTGACACATTCAAAGTACATTGTTTAAGATTTCATTAGGCTTTGGATTCACTCACTTTGGATGAGAATTGAATTTTTTTATGATTTTTCAAAGTTAGAAGCAACAGGCTAAAAATCAGTTTTCTGGGCAGCATTTATTTCGAATTTATGGGTCAAAACTGTTCCAATTGGGAAGAGATTTTGTTAAACTAAATTGACACATTCAAAGTACATTGTTTAAGCTTTCATTAGGCTTTGGAATCACTCAATTTGATTTAGAATTAAAATTATTATGAATTTTCAAAGATGGAGGTAACAAGCTGCATATGAATTGTTAACAACTAGTAGGAGTTGTTTTAACCCTCACACCCTTGGTTTCCTTGTGAACTAAATCTTTTAAATTGAACCACTATATGACTTGAATTAGGCTTTCTTTACAAGCATGTTGTGTAATAAAAATCTGAAATTTTGTAATTTAGACAAAAATGATGTGTTATGTGTTTTAAATATGAAATTTAAGCTCTTAAAATGTTGTTGGTGTTTATGTGCCTAAAACTGAAGTTCTAGTAATCTCAATGGTTGTATTGTTATTGTTTGACAAGCTGAAAATTATATATTTAGTTGACTTCAATTATGTGCTGTTTTGTTATAAGTTTGGTATTGTATTAGTGTTCAAAAACTGAATGATATATTATCCTTGAAACATGCTGCCATGATAAATTTACTGCCAAAGTGTGTCCATAGAATATGATTTTGATGTGAGTAATGATGTGGTATTATAATATTGTGAAGCATGTGACATTCATGCATATCATTGGGAAAGAATGGGAAAAATTGATTTGAAAGAAATGATATGGATTTTTGGGAATGAATTTTGAAAAGGATTTTGTGAAAAACCTGGCCGCCTAGGAGTTGCCTAGGGACCACGGCGTTAGTGTGACCTAGAGGGGACTAGGGAAATTGCCCTAGTGTAGTTGTGTTACCTGGGCCCCAAATGACGCCATAGAGTTACCATGGGTCAGGGACAGTGGTCAATCCTCCTCTCATGCCGCCATGGAGTTGCCATGGGACGGGTTCACTAACAGTTTGGAAATAATGATGGAAATGGTTTTGGAAAAATGGGGAGCGACATCACATGACATTGCAACCATTGCATGGCATATCCATTCATGACTTTGTTTATAAATGTGATATTGTGGTTATTTTTCTCCCGGCATAGCATAGTACTAGCTAAGAAATTTATTGGAAAGAATGTGGTAATCATGGAGTAATAAAGATGGATATTCTCAGTTTGTGGTTATGATTAGACATGAGTAGTTATCCTTTTATTTAGGTGCAGTAAATCATTAATACTAAAAGGTACCAAAGGTACCTTAGGTATTAATAAAGGGATAGTCTTTTCACGGTATAGGAGCATACCTTTAGACTGATAGTTGTGATAATGAGAAATGTGATTCCTTTTATAGAAAGTTGTAATAAGGGAAATGGTTTAGACTCTGTGTATATAGTACTTCATATTCTTCTGTGTTGACTATTTTGTGAGACAGCATGATGATGTGATAGTTATTTTTTTTCCCAGATTTGCATGACTCCTTTTCTGATTCCTATTCTTTGTTTGGATTCATGAGGGTATTAAGGAGTAGTGGTTAGGCATTTCCTGCTGAGCTGTGGTTGCTCATTCCTATTATACATACATTTTTTTCAGGTTATGGACAAGAGGTCGTAGAGGGCATTCCTCCACAGCCATGGACGGATGTTGGGTTTTATTTTGTTGTATATCTTTGTGTAAATAGAGAATGTATATTTTGAAACCAACATATATATTTATAAATATTCTTCCAAACAGATTTTGTTTAATTATTGTAATTAAAGAATTATGGGGTTTTACGTATGAAACCTACTTTTATAATTTCAGATAATGTATAAACAGGGAAATGGATTTTGTGTGTGTGTTAGGACAAGGTACTTTATTTAACATGACTTTTGAAACCAGGGAATTTTTTTATTATTATCAACCTTGAGTATTAAAGTTTTATCTAAAATTTTTGGACAGTGTTCCAAGGCTCGGTCAGACGTTTCTGAATATGAGTATTTCTTTGTTCTGTTTTATATTCACAACCTGGATTACGGTCTAGGGTCGTGACAGCGATTGAGCTCACCCCTTATATTAATATTTTCAAGTCACAGGAAGGAAGTGGTGGTCGACGTAGCCTTATCCACCTGCATTTGTGAGTCTTTTGTGATATCAGAGATATGATGTACTATGAGTCTTGGGATGACGTATATGTATTATGTATTGACATTGGATAGGATTTTAATGCCTTTAGACGACCTCGGGTGTTCGGGTAAGGACCCGGTTAGTGATTCAGACCGCCGGGTTCGGGTCGTTACATGAAGAGACCAACATTTGTTTATCTCCACAAAGCACTTTATATTTTTTAAAAAAACTAAAAAAATTGAAGTGTTGTCCAAGGGGATGCCCTTGTTGTTTTCTTGTACATTGTTGATATATCTATAAAAATTTTCCACTCTACCCAGGAAAAAAAAAAAAAAAAAAGAAGCTATTACCATATATACAAAGACAGACGAATCCATAAATTTAATGATTTAATGTGGAGCTAATTTTAAAGCTTCATTCATTAACATTGCAAATAGCAATTTTTTTTCTTTTTTCTTTTTCTTTAGGTAAAAATACACCCTTTTTTTTTTTTTTTTTCCACGTCCAAGTTCGAACTCTTCACCTCTCCTTTTAGGATGAAGAGGTTATACCACTAGGCTAAAGACCCTTTGATTAAATGGCAAATTATTACTTACTGTAATAGTGTGAAGTAACTATTTAATCTATTAAATGAAATGAGAATTAAAGTTGGAGCTAGCAAAATGGATCTATGATAGACATAATTGTAAGAATATAACATTGCTAGTAGATTTTAATGGAAAAACTAATACAAAACATTAGAACATACTTACGAAAAAAAAAAAAAAAAAACGAACACAATTAACATGCCTTGTTTTTTTTTTGAAGTTGCGAATAGTACGTCCTAGAGGAAACGGACCTGGAGAATGTGTACCAGTGGACCACACAAGCAATGAAGCGAAATTTTATTATACAAAATATATTGAAGACAAACCTTAATTATTACCTTTGACAGAGACTTGATACCTGGTGTAAATTCCATGCTCGATCTGAAATTGTTTCCTTGATTTAGCTTCTTTGTCGACCGCTCTTCTTCTTCCTTCTCTGATTCTTTTGGTTTCTTCCGAAGGTGCTGACAAACCATTCATGATATCTGGTGGTCAGAATATGCCCAATGATCAGCCCATCTACTAACCCACCTCCATAGCCCATGCATATCACAATCCAATCATTTCTATCAATTGGAAACCATGAATCACCATCATCACCACCTTGCTTGAATTTTGAAGGTGGTGGTGGTGATGCTTCTAAATTGCCACATTTTATCGACAAAGGGTCTCCACACAATCCCGAATTCCCCTCATATGAGCTGTTTTCAAATGTATCAAATTGCCTCCCTTGTGGAATAGGACCAATGAGATGATTATGAGAGATGTCGAAGACTTCAAGGAATGTGAGCAGGGTTAGCTGCTCGGGTATCTCTCCTGAGAGCTTATTTCTAGAAAGATCTAATGATTCAAGCTCTGTTATATTCCCCAAGGAAGATGGGATGCGACCAATAAAATTGTTGTTGGAAAGGTTGAGCATGCGAAGATACTTGAGAATCCCAATAGACTCTGAAATTTCTCCATCGAATCGGTTACTTGAGAGATCAATGGCAATGAAGATATCCAGGATGTTTGAAAACATTGTTTGCACACCTTTGTTAGTTAGTGTCATTGAATAGTCGTAATACATAATTCCTGCGGGAGAAATTATCTTTGACGTTCTTGCTTGCATGTATCTTGACTGTTTAACATGAACAGATTTCATGGCTTCCCAAGTGCAGAAGTAATCTGAAGGCAACTTACCTGTAAAACTATTATGAGAGAGATCAATGACGAGCAACTTGGGGAACAATGTGGACCTAGATTCTTCAGCTGGGTGATTCTGTATTGCACCGTGGAATCTATTGTATCCCAAAATAAGAACTTTCAACTCTGGAAGATCAGTTCCAAGCCAAAAGGGAAAAATATCATTAATATGATTGTTCCCAAGATCGAGAATCTCTAAACCTTTGCAATTGACCAAGGATCTAGGCACTGGTCCTTGTAATTGGTTTTGACTCAAATAGATCATCTTTAGACTGCTTCCGTTGTTGTATACTTGAGGAATGGGGCCATGAAAACTATTGATTCGAAGATTCAACACTAACAGATAATCCGAAAAGTTTCCCAAGCATTGGGGAATCATGCTATTAAAATTGTTGTCAGATATATCGAGGGCGTAAAGAGAAGTGAGATTGCAAATCAATGGTGGAATGTCTCCAGTTAGTTTGTTGTGTGAGGCATCATACACATAGCTGGATGATGGTGGGATCGGGAGTGATCCGTGCAGCATGTTAGAACCAAGATGTAAAAACCTTAGTCCACTCCACGGAAGGACTGAAGGAGGTTTGTCAAAGCCAGTTAGAAAGTTTTGGTTTACGTACAAAGACGACAAAGTTTCGGTGCTCATGTTCCAAATCCATTTAGGCATGAGGCCTTGAATGCCGTTGTTTGAGAGGTCTAGATGGTGCAAGTCATCTTGATATCTCAAGAAATCTGGGAATTCAGTTAGGTTGCATGACCCCAATTCAAGATGATAAAACTTTGGAAGAGTGGCATTGGTATAATTGCTATTGTGGAGCAATGTTAGTCTGGTATCTGATAGCTGAAGTTGAGTGAGATTTTTCAAGGTAAAAAACAAATCTAATTTCACTCTTCCACTCAGGTTGTTTGAACCAATAGAAAGAGCTTTTAGATTTACAAGCTGAGATATCGACTCTGGGATGGGACCCTGTAACAAATTATTTGAAAGGTCCAGCAATGTTAATTGGGTCAGATTCATAAGCCTAGATGGGATTTGACCAGTTAGTTGATTAGACCCCATATACAATTCATCAAGTTGTGTTAGATTACCGATTGAAGATGGTATTGACCCTGAGAAGTTGCATTCTTGGATGTTCAATGTATTCAAGGAGTCGAGATTTCCAATTGAATTTGGCAGCTCCCCGGAAAAGCCTGTGCCCGCTAGCATCAGTAACTGAAGTGGATGACTCCTGTGGAATTCTGGCAAATAACCGTTGAGCTCTTGATTGTAACGAACGCTAAGAAACTGTAGGTTTGGTAGGTTAAAAATGTCTGTTGGAAATTCACCATGCAATCCACAATCTCTGAGCAGTAGAGACATTAAAGAAGAAATATTTGCCAAAATCCCAGGTACTGCAGAAGATATGTTGACGTAACTGAGGTGAAGTTCTTTCAAGTCCGTCAAGTTCTGAACCAGAGTTGCTAGACCAGGCTTTTGGAGCTTCAATAATGGATTCTCAGAGAGATCAAGAGAAACAATTTTGTTTAGTTGTGAAATTTCTAATGGGATTTGACCATCAAATGCAGAAAATGAGAGATCTAGATGAGTTAACCTTGAAAGAAGTCCAACAGCAGATGGGATTTGTGACTGATTGAAGTCATTGTCTGCGAGGTTGAGTCTCCGAAGATGAACAAGGTGAAAGAGGCTGCTGCTTGAATTGATAGAACCATACAGAAGGCTGCTGCTGAGGTCAAGGCCGATCACATGGCCGGTGTGCCCATGACATGTAATGCCATCCCATGAGCAACAATCACTACTACTACTATTACTACCTTCCCCTTCAGGCAGCTTCCACGACGCAACCTTTGGATAGGCAGAAGGATCGCCAGAAGCAGACTTGTTTATAGAAAAGCTTTGCTTGAATTGCATCAAAGCAGAGCTCTCCTTATCATGGCAGAGTGGCTGAACGGAAGAGGAGGTACTGTTAATAGCAATGAAATGGAAGAATGTTGCGAGTAGAAAGATTACGCGCGACAAGGTAAAGAGATGCAATGATGAAGCCATTTTATCTCAAGTCTCTTTTGACACTATGATAAGAGCAGGCATAGAATGTGTGTTTTTAATTTTTTATTTTGTAGAAGAACCATACTTGCCTCCAACCTTATCACTTGAGTAGACAGATGCTCAGCACCAACAATTTTTAGTCACTATCCCAAAATTAATTAGTGGGGTTGTTGAGTCAACTCGTCTGCGTAAATAAAGGGCTATTAAGGAGGATGTTAAGTGATAGCCGGTTTCACAATAAACTGCTACAATCACTAGGTCTGGACCATCCAATGCATAATTTACTAGACTGATGGATTAATTGGAAGGCTAGGATCCATGTATCTGCCTCCATCCATATTGACCAATTGCCCTTTAAAGGCTTCAACCGGTGTCAAGAGTATATCCTGCCCTGCAATTGTTTACTCCGGTCCCATAATAATAGAAAAAATGATAATTTAGACAACAATTACAGAAAAATCTACTTTGACGTGTATTTTCACAAATGACTGTTTCAAATCTTTCTCGTTACATATTAAATGTACTATATTTTACGGATCTCTCTCATCACATGTTAAATGTACTACATTTTTTAGGCAAAAATATTCTTTTAATTTCTCTCATTTTCTGCCCCACGCACATACACACACATATATATATTCTCCTTTGCATATTTGTTAGTCCTCCATAATTTTTTTTATTTTTATTATTTTGCTGTCAATAAAAAAAAGTTTCAGTCAACCAAATTTGTTTCTCTCTATTCTCTTCAACTACAATTTTAAATGTTTTTCATCTCCAAGAAAAAAATAAATAAATAAAAGAAAGATAACATTTTGAAGATAAGTTTTATATCTCTGTAGTTTTTAACAAAATTTATGATAATATATTTCAATTGAATTTAAAGGAGGAAATAAGGATGAAAGTACTTAATATGAAAATATGTTTCGATAAGCAATTGTTTCGGAAAAATATTGATGGCTTTGTGTTTATACTGGATTTTTCGGTCACGATTTGAAGATATTATGAAATTTGTTAAAGAAGGTGAAGGTTGGTTGAGTTAGAGAAGGTGAGGATTGTTCAAAGATGAGTTTGGTTAGAAAGAGAAAAGATAGTAATTGGTTGGGGAAAGAAAAGGAAGAGATCGATTTTGGGTTTTTCTTTGCTTAGATTTGATCATTTTCTCCTTGATTGGATCTTGTGCGGGATTTTATGTGTTGGAGCGCTTTGTGGTTGTAATTTTGGAGCGATTGCCGTACTGATGGCCAGACTTTTAGGTTTCTCCAGTTTGCTGCTTTATCCCGTGGTGGTTCCGTTTGCAGAGTGTTGGATTTTGTTTCCTCTTCAAATTTGGAGTTTATTCTTTATTTATTTTTCTTACTTCAAGATTTGTATATCCTTTTTGGCTTGACTTTATGCCTCTGTACTATCATCTTGACTTTAAGTCTATGTACCTTTGAATGGTTAAAAAAAAAAATAGGAATATAATTAAATAAGTCAGGTGAAACGGTAATACTCAGATGCAGGATATTAATTGGGGATATTTTTGTTAAGGTGAATATGACTTTAAAATTTCGAAAGTATGAGTGCAAAGTAGTACTTGGACCCTCAGAAGTGTGACTTGTGAGGGCAATTTGTCCGTTTTATTTTATTATATAGAAGAGCAACAATTGCCTCCAACCTTATCAGTTGAGTAGACAGGTGCACAGCACATCAATGTTAGGCACAAGGAAGATGTTGAGTGATAGCCGGTTTCACAATAAAATGCTACAATCACTAGGTCTTGACTATCCGATGCATCACTTACATGATTGTGTCTGAGATTTGTTGTGCCATAATTGACTCTCAATACGGATTAATTGGAAGGCTAGGATCCATGTATCTGTCTCTATCCATATTGACCCGATTCCCCTTTAAAGGCTTCAACCGAAATAGATAAGAATAGTCGAGACCAACAATTGATTTTGGCAATTAAGAACAAGAAAAATAGGCAAAAGCAAGAAGAAAATTAGGTCCCGCATGTGAAGTGGTCCAAAGCATTGTTTCTACTTTCTACCGGATATGTAAAGAAAAGTACTATTTTCGCCTCATAATAATGTACTGCAAGTCACGGTTTTAAAAAAAATAGTAATTAAATTGTGAGTCACGATCCTCGATATATAACACTTACTATCAAACAGGAAGAGCAGTGACTATCAAGTGAGTGGTGGCACAAGCTGACAAGCAATATATATGGAGCAGAATGTTCTGTCCCTGCGCATGACGTTTCAACAAGTCTGGCAATGATTAAGGGTTAGTAGGTAGGGGGAGGGAAATCAACCCGGATACGAGGGTGAGAGGCAACTAAAAAGGGTCATTTCACTCGGCAGCACCACCATACCTTATTCTCATGATTTTTATTTTTATTATTATTATTTTTTCATAATTAATACACACATGTCTTTATGAAGGTTTGAACCTTAACCTTCATTTAAGAAGTAAGGACCTGATACCGCTAAATCGGTGGTCCATTAATTAATTTTAATTTTCAATTTCTAAGATTTTTTTTTTTTTTTTCTTTTCTCAAATATTTCAAAAGATTCACCCTATACAAGTTTTATACTTGTGTATGCTTCCTAATTCAAAGTACAAAATGTCTTCCATATATAACCAAATTTTTATTGTTTCATAATTTTCATCAAATTTTGACATTAGCACATTTTAATAATTTTTTTAGGCTATGGTTGGTACGGTAAAAAAGAAAATAAATGATAATATTAGTTAGGAGGATAAATAAAAAAAAATAAAAAAAAAAATGAGATAATAGTGTTAATTGTTTATCATGTTTGGTTAATTAATAAACAAAAATAAAGGATATGATAATAATCATATTTAGAGAAAAAAAAATGAAATGAAACTATCCTAATGAATTTATAACCATATGTTTTTTTATAGATTTTTTCATTCAATTATTTATGTCATTCAATTACTTTTAATAATTAAAATTTATTTTTGGTAACGCTTGGGATTCATGATCTAACTCAAAAACTTAAAACTTTTAAGTACTTAAAGTTCTAATGCCCGATTCATATACACCCAACCACTTTCCATCCCACGGGGGACAAGGCCCCTGGTTTATAAGCCATGCTTAAAAAGAGCACAAGCGAGGCCCATCAGGCTGCTGAAAGCTTATAAAGCTGGGCCAAGACCCAGGACCCTGTCCAGATAAGAAGACCCAAGAGGCAACAAAACCGAATGGTAAGCAAAGCAAGACAGCACCGATCTATTGTTATCCATCACATTTTTTTGCCTGATGAGGCGATTGACAAAGACATTATTTATCATAATCGGTGATGTGATGTAACAAACAGTTATAAATTTTTTATCAAAATAAAATGAACATATAATAAAACTAAAAAGTTAATATTGTTTTGGTGAATTTTTTGTAACCACCCATTGCACCAAGTTACAATGATTACAATGCATTAAGTCACTATTACAATTATTACAATGAATAATTTTAAAGGTTGCACCACTTCATCATTACAACTATTACAATGAATAATTTTAAAGGTTGAGCCCATACCTCCATAAAAGGTGACATTTTGCACAACAATAAAAGTAAGTAATCTTTCTACTTACCTATTAGTTTTTCTCCTAATTTCAATAAATGACAGACTTTTTCCCCTTGTTATTGTCCTTTGCAAGTAAGTAGCATAACACTGACTTTCAGAGCCTTTCTTCTGTGTCTTGAAATCGCATATTGACTTTAGTGGAGTGCCCTTGATTAAGTGAGATGTTATTTCCTCAACAATAAATAAATAAATAAGTGAAGAAGAAACACAACACAACAAAATTATTTTATGCAAAATATATTAAAGACAAACCTTGTTTCCTTTGAGAGAGACCTGATAATACCTGGTGGAAACTCCATGCTAGATCTGAAGTTGCAGTCTCTGATATCCAATATATTCAACGAATCGAGATTTTCAACTCACTAAGTCAGATATAAGCTTAATAAAATAGTGTTTACTGCAATGTTGTGGGCTACATGGGGTGAGAGGTATGCAAGGTATCATCAGGGAACATGTCATTCTGCAGTTGATGTTGCTAGAGGAACTTGGTTCCAGTTGCTGGATGATATTAGTGACAAAAAAACAGGAGCCAGAGAAAAGTCCCTTCAATCCTTCCCATAATTTTGGACGATTGTACTTTTCTATAAAAAATTCAACATTCTCGAGCTTCAACACTACATTAAGAGTTTCCAATACTAAATCCGGTTTACTTATCCTGAACTACAACATAAGCCAAATAATATTTGAAATCTAACTCCATCAGATGCAAAGCCAACAATACGCTCTTATTCATGTTGTGACTGGCAACAACAGTTTATTTTTAGTCATTTGCGGTACAAATTAAAATCCAAGAAACATAAATCAAATACAACTATAATTGAAGGTCCAACATGCAGTAGATTGGGGACAAATAGCTTAGTTTTTGTAAGAAATGACATCAGGTACCAACACAACAGCAATGATAACTAAAATATAAGAAAATCAATATAGTGAAAGAAGCAATAAGTGGTAAAATCAGATTTCGCATGAGATTAATGAAGGGAATTAGTAACTATTACCAATGACAAAGCACTTAAATAAAAAACTACAGCTTCCATCTCATACTTGGCAATTCTTTCTCATCCTGATTGACAACTCTACAACTACTCTAACATCCACCAAGAATGGATGCACTATCCTCTTCTCAAAGGGTATTTCGACAGAAAAATGGATTGGAGTAATTAGCTAAAGCATTCTCCAGAAGCCCATACAAACATCCAAATTAAGTTTACACATTGTTAAGAAACGAAAATCCTACAACACAATCATAAGGATTCAACATACTGCAGCAAGAAATCAAAGCAATTCATGTCAATTAAAAATCAATACACTTGCAAGACAAGGATTCTGAAACGCATATCCCTTAGAAAGCCTTTCCTTGGAGCCAAGTCATTCACTAAATGAAATTTTCAATAACTAGTATACACTAAGCACACAAAATCTGAAAGGAATACAAAAGGTGGAAAAAAATTTGGTTTTTCAAAAGAGTACAAGATGCAGAAGAAATGTAATTGCATCCCTACCTATGAAAGGGAATAGGATCATCAACTACAAAAATAGCTGCTGCTACTCTTTCATCCTTTATCCATCTTCTCACATTTGCTCCTAGCAGGCTAGCATATTCCCATTCCAACAACTCTGCAAACTGAAAATGAATAGTAACCAAGATCAAACTAATTCTATACCACTAGATAAACCGAAATGAATAGTGCACAACCGTACAGTCTTTACAAATAAAGTTGTTATAAGAATCATGATTGATTCCTTATGCTAACAGTGGCAATAAATTGGCAAGATATAGTTCTGCGATCCATATATAGCAGGAGTCAATATCATAGAAACATTATACATGGATAAAAACAGGAATTGTAATAAGTATAAATAATGGGAAGTAAAAAAGCTTGTCTACCTTCCTATTTTTCTTTGCTTCCTTCAGCATTCTTAGCAGATGTTTTCTCCTCAATCTCTCTTCTTCTCGCCGTCCTCATTGAATAGTATGCATCATTCAATGAGACTCGATCTTCTCCATCAAGTAAAACAAGGCTCTCCATGTAAGTATCCAAATAATACGAGTCTTCACTCTTCAGACCCAAAGTTTGCAAGATGGACCTGTTGATTGCTCTCAGAAACCAGCTCTCTGTTACTCTTTGCCACAAGAATTTCACCAGTTCTCCTAAATCCCAAAACCTTGCTTAGTCCTCCTCCTCCAAGAGTAAATAATTTCGTCCAAGACTCTACTACACCATACTCTTTCATCACCCATATGCAACATCTCTTACTTCTATCATACAAAAAACCATCATAATGGAATAGAGACAGGGATTCCCCAAAAAGTGAAATTGACAGGTTCAACCCGGGGCCATTGGCAACACCAGCTGGAAGCATAATCTCGCGAAAAACTTCAGAACCCATATCAAACGACAAAATCAAGTAGCGATTTCGTTCCTTGCCCTTCTCAGATGCTACCCAGTGGGAAGCCCCTTTGACAAAAACATGCCAAGAACGACTGAAAATCATGCCATACAGAGGAACAACAGCACTACTGACTCTCCACAAACCAGTGCTAAGCTCATAAACCTCAACCCAAGGTGGACTTTTGTAACCATTCATATCAAACTCGCAAAAATACACAATTCTCACAACCTTGAAGTCATTAGTCCAAGAATTGAATCCAAACCCATGAAAAAAATCATAATGCGAGTATGTAGTATTGCCATTTAAATCGTCAGAAAAACAAATCAACCCATTACATGAACCCACTATCCTGTAATGAGAATGTGGCCAGCAAGCATAACTATCATCAAATGCCATACATTCATCAAATGTTTCATTATCACAACGTATTGAGAAGCGCTCTTCGTTTTCATGCTGAGAGTGGTACCTGAGGAGTAGTAATTGAGTCTTCTTGGTGTCTGCAACAGTTCGATTGATGTGCGCTGTGATGAAATTAGGGTTCTTGATGAGAGCGTTCCATGATTTGCAAACGCATCTGATTTGCACGATAGTCTTGATTGGTAATCTTGTGCAGATATCGGTAAAGAGTTCTTGAGGTAGCTTGTCGAAGAAAGACATCGTTACCGTTTGATCTCAAAACCCTAAAATTTGATAACCAAAATTACCGGTCAATGTAATTTGGGTTCTGCAACTTTGAGTTGGTGATGTTTTATGCTCTCTCACATTCGGCTCTTCAGTGAGAATTTCGGGTCCTCCCACTCCGATTCTTTCATCCCCATTCACGGGACAACTGAATCATGCTCCGTTTGGCCAATTAATCCACCACTATTTATAATATTTATAAATAACATGTCATTCACCATTTATAGGAACATTACATAATCTAAAAAAATAATATCACATATAAATATAACTCAATTTTACATTCTTACTTTTAATTTTAGACTTAGTGATGTTACTTTTTAAATTATGTGATATTATTTTTAAATTTCTGTGATATTACTTAAAAGTTGTACTAAAATGTTATTTATAAATAATGGTGTAATTGTCAAACACGTGTTAATATCTATTAAGGAGAGTAAAACGTAACCAAACCAAGGTCACTTATTACTCACTGCAGGGAACTGCATGAAAATTGCACAGCAGGTGATTCGCTTCCGATCAATTTAAGAGCTTGTTAGTTTGTCAGTCAAAAAAATAATTCTTTTATTTTTTATAAAAATTTAAAAATAAAAATAATAGTACACCGTATATATTTTTATTTTTTAAAAGACTTTTAAATCATAAAATGTATAAAAAGTTCTCTTTAGTTCAATTTTTAAAAAGTGAGTTATTTTTACAAAAGTAAATCTAGAAGGTCCTAAATAATAGTTTAAAAAAAGTTGAAAAGTCAGTTAAAGAAATTTTTAATTTTTAATTTTCACACAATACCAAAGCTTCCAAATTCAAAGGTATTGACCTAACTCCTACTGTCTCATAAAATATCAGATTTTAGGATCGATTCTTATTAGGTGCAAATAATTTCTTGAAGGGGACCAACTAAAAAAAAAAAATTACCAAATTTTTTAATAATTCAGTTAAAATCACAAATAATGCAAGAAAAATATATTGCATTAATTCTTATATGTATTAAAATGCCTAAAACATGTATATATATATAGGCATACATGCATTAGAACTCACTCTTTGTTTAAAAAAATATTAACTTTTTGCCAATATTAAAGCTGTGATATATATATATATATATATATATATATATATATATATATAATTTTATTTTTAAGGGTATACTAACAATTATATATGTTATGAATATTCTTTTAGCTCTTCAACAATTGTAACAAAGGCCCTTCACTTTGTAAACAAAGGATAGAGTGCGTTTGCACTACTTTTTTTTATATGCTTTGCAAAACATATATTCATATAAAAATTACATTAGAAAATAATTAAATAAACTTATAAGTATTAAAGAGTCATGCTACCAACAACAATTGAATGCACTAAAATAATTGGTCTAATAATGGCCATTGCAAGCTATCAATCGGTGTCGGAACATTTTTCATAGAATTATTATTGATAACATGGAACGGGATAAAGTGAAATCAAAAAATGAAATATATATAGAAATAATAACTAAAAAGAAACAGATGATACTAAATTGTATTGTATCAATATTAATGCAGCTAATTAAACTGTGTGTCGGAAAATCATGGGGTTTCAAGAAACAAGTGAAATAATAGCCAGTTTCATTATGAAAAACAGTGATCCCTTAGCCAGTTTCTGACATTATGGACTAATTTTGAAGATTAAGATCTATATAAATAACGCATTTGATTTGCACGTACGATAGTCTTGATTGGTAATCTTGTGCAAATATCAGTAAATAGTTCTTGAGATAGCTTGTCGAAGAAAGACATCGTTACCGTTTGATCTCAAAACCCTAAAATTTGAGAAACAAAATTCCCGCTCAATGTTGTTTTGGGTTTTGCAACTTTGAGTTGGTGATGTTATAATAGTAGTAGTTTCTCACGTTCGGCTCTTCAGTGAGAAGAATATCGGGTCCTCTCACTCAATTCTTTCATATCGAATCACGTGACAAACTGAATTGAGCTATATATATATATTTATTTATTTATGGGGGGAAATTAATCCACCTCAATTTGTTTGTGTTTATTTGTTTAATAATCCCATTAAAATAGTTTTCTATTAAAATTATAAAATTATACAAATGTACGTGGTTTAGTGTTTTGAAAACTCAATTATAAAAAATAAAAATAAAAATTTATTTTTAAAAAGCTGAATAAGGAAGGCCTCCAATATTCGTCTAAGAAAAATGACTTTTAAACTGAATAATCATGCATCATTTGTAATATTCAGATGATCAATTAAAATAGTTTGACCGAGTCTTATAATATTAAGATGATCCGTTAAAATAGGTCTTTAGTAAAATTCACTTTAAACATATCAAGGTAGGAGATAATTCAATCAAGCAACTGAAATCAGATAGTAGCGTTGCCCTAGTCACAAACATGTTCACACACAATGTTGTTAAATTTTATAAACATCATTCGCTATAGGGAAAAGTTGGATCACATTTTCATACAGGACTTGGGGATTTAAGACCAAAAACTTAAATGCTCTGAATATTTTGATGATATAATATCACACACTATTAAATATTGATACTTAGTAATGGGATAAAAAAAAATATAACAAAAAAAAGATGCATTTTTATTTATATGTTAATATTTAATTAGTGTGTGATATTATGTCATTGCTATACTTGGAGATTTGAGTTTTTCACATGGGGGTGCCAATTCCAATCCCCAACCTCACAGCCTCTCTATGTGGAGTAGGTATATATGGTGAATGGGACATACCACTCTAATGGTATGTCCAAGGCGGAGTCCGTTTGTGCCCGGGGGCATGTAATGTTACCGATTTTTTTTCTTATTTTCTATTTTCGGGAATTTATTTGATTTTTCTAGATTATTTTAATCATTGCCTCGTTTTGTGTGCCACGTGGGCCCCGAGGGGCGATTTGGTCATTTTTTTGAGCCGAGAGTTTTAGAAGTGTATTTTTAATCATTTTAAATCAATTAAAAGTGACGGTATTATTTTCAGAATTTTTCAAAAGTCGGGACGATTTCCGGACTTGAGAACTTCTCCCGGTTTTGTCATTTTAAGAAAGGGGCATAATGGACTTTTCTCACATATATGTATATATCTATATCTATTTATTAGGAAGATATTTTATGAGACAAGGATGACATTGTAGAGGAAGGGCAAGGGCATGATGGTAACTTAACAAAAAGTTAGTAATCATAGGATCATGACAAGTGGCACAAGGAAGGCCACACAAGCAATTGCAAGACCAAGCCTACACCCATTTTTTTTTCCTTCATTTTTGGCCAAGCCCTCTCTCTCTCTTACCTTTCCCATTCTCTCTCTATATTCCTCTCTCCATTCTCTCTAGATTTTCTTCATGCTAGAAAAAGATTTGGTTAAGCCGGAGTTAGCAAATTATAGATCGTTGCAAGGGCTACGGTTTGGTGCTGGTATTACAAGCTTTTAGTGGGATTTGAGTTTGGAGCTTGGAGCTTGGAGCTTGGGTTGCTATCTTGAGGTATGGGAAATTTAAATTATGAGTCCTATGGTTTTAGTGAACTTTTATGTATATTCTTACATGAAATCTTGTTGTTATATAGCATGTTTAGTTTTGTAGAGTTTTGGTTTGTGGTGTTCAAGTATGATATGTGGTTGATTTATGTGGTTTAAAATGTAACTAATGTGATTTATGCTAATTGTGCATAACATGCTATTTCTATGTTGGAATGTGGAAGTATAGCTTGTATGGTTGTCTTATGTTTTGTATATCATGAGCAATAATTTTGATTTAAATTCATGAATGGTATTTTGATGATTAATGGCATAAACTTCATGTATTTTTCATAGGGAAATTGGGTTTGCGAGATTGAACTCATGATGTGGAAATGAAGGATGAGAAGTGAATTGATGTTGTGGTGTAAGTTGGATTGAGAAGTGAAATGGTGGTTGCGAAAGGTTTGATGAGGTTTGGGTTGGAAGGAAAGAGGAGGACAATTACATCTCATGTGGTGAAATGAATTATGAATTCATTGAATTTAATGTTTGATGTTATGGTTGACATCCCCATGATCTCTTCTTCTTATTCTCCTCTTCTTTGGTTGTGGTTCACGAGATTTTTAGGAATGTAATTTAAGCTTTTTATACTGAGCTGTTGAGCTCACCCTATTATCATTAACATTTTTTCAGGAATTCGGAGACGAGTCGGTAAATGATATGCATTCATGGATATTGACATAGCTAGGATTTTAATTCATTTTTTTTTTTAAAGATATGTAGTGTTGGCCATGGAGGCCTCATTCCTTGTATTTAATTCCTTTAAGAATGTATTTCTTTTGTAAAGCATGGCCGTGTACTGTAATTACGACACTTGATAATACTTGATATAAACTTGAGATTATGTAAAGGTTTAATGTTGAATAGGGGAAATGCAGTTATATTTTAAGAAATTATAGACGCCATCTAACTGTATGTTTTGCCGTGAAATTTGGGATTTGTTTGTGTGTCAGGTTTGGTATAAACCGGCTCACAATGAGCCTAGATCATCTGATGTCTCAGTTGTAGATAGCAGCATTCAAGGGCCTGTCAGCCGGCTGATAGCAAAAAATTTTGGTATTCTAGTAGGTCGATACATTATGGATGTTGTTTCGGCTGGCTCATAAGCTCTGTCAGCCGATTGAACCCCCCCTTGTCAGTCGGCCGACGTTGGATGTTCGGCCGGCCGACAGTTTTTTTATTTCTAAAGTCCCGAGAGCATGAATTATTGAGGATCGTTTCAGCCGACTGACCATACATTTTCAGCCGGCTGATGGCCCTATGCATTTTTAGCCAGCTGACGAAAGGCCATCAGCCGGCTGACTTCTCCATCAGCTGGCTGATCTTATCCATTGACCTGTACTTTGACTTCTTCTTCTAAACTATGTCTTAGAAAGACCTTGGGACCCTTGAATGATCTGTGTATCCCCAGTGAGTATAAGAAAGGACGGGATTGCCTTTAGTTGACCTCGGGTTCGGGTAAGGACCCGGTTAAACGATTCAGGCCCACAGGTTCGGGTCGTTACAAAAATTTGTATCAGATCTTTAGGTTCGAAAACCTAAGGACGACGGGTAGGGTTGACCAAGGTTGAGTTAGAGCTGGGATTGACAGTATTACATGCTTATGTGGATATTGTTTATCTAGTTAAAAAGCACGACTTGCTATTACGT